TGTGGTGTATATGGATTTTAGCAAAGCGTTTGATAAGGTTCCACATGGAAGGCTCATTCAGAAAGTAAGGAGGCATGGGATTCAGGGAAATTTGGCTGTCTGGATACAAAACTGGCTGTCCAATAGAAGACAGAGTGTGGTAGCAGATGGAAAGTATTCAGCCTGGAGCTCAGTGACCAGTAGTGTTCCGCAGAGAAATGTTCTGGAACCTATCCTCTTTGTGATCTTTATAAATGACTTGGATGAGGAAGTGGAAGGGTGGATTAGTAAGTTTGCCAATGACATGAAGGTTGGTGCAGTTATGGATAACGTGGAGGGCTGTTGTAGGTTGCAACGGGACACTGACAGGATGCAGAGCTTGGCAAAGAAGTGGCAGATGGAATTCAACCCAGAAAAGTATAAAGCGATTCATTTGGAAGGTTGAATTTGAATGCAGAATACAGCGTTACTGGCAGGATTCTCAGCAGTGTAGAAGAACAGAGGGATCTTGGGGTCACGTCCATCGATCCCTCAAAGTTGATACCCCAGTTGATAGGGTTGTAAAGAAGGATTATGGTCAGGGGAATTGAGTTTAAGAGCTGTGAGGTTATGCTGCAGCTCTACAAAACCCTGGTTAGACCATACTTGGAATATTGTGTTCAGTTTTGGTCACTTCATATAGGAAAGATGTGGAAGCTTTAGAGAGAGTGCAGAGGAGATTTTAACAAACAGAATTAACATTTGGTAAATCTTCATGTATACAGTGATAAAAATGCTGATACACCCTCTCCAAAGGCATTACGGGACCACGTACTGGTCTGCAGGACCATACATGGTCTGCAGCAGTTCAGGAAAGCAGTTAAACACCAGCTTCTAAACAATAACAAGGAACGGTCAATAAATACTGGCCAGACAGCAACGTTCTTGTCCCATGAATGAATATGGAAACACATCGTGCCGCACATCAAACGGATATTTCAATCAAGATAGATCCCATAGATTTCTCAGTAACTGTCCACGTACATAAATGATATGGTACATCATACATTATAATGAAGATTCACAAGGGATTATAATCCTTCAGCTCTGCTGATCCATCCTTCAAAATCCATGTCATAAGTTGCTGCAACATGGACTGCCTCAATGACTGCACTGTTCTGGTGGTACATACTGCAGCACTGGGTTCATGTAGTTCTGGTTGCAGAGATTGTATTCCAGTACTTATTCAGAAGGATAATTCCAATCCTTCAATGACAACTACTTTTACTGAACCATGTCTACCCCTGGGATTAGTCCCCCATCTCCTATCCCACTTAGTTTCATCAGATACACACTGTTGCTGATAAACTTTCAACCTCATTTTCTCAGCTGCACTGAAGTACCATTGCCCAGAGGCATGATCCAACCTCCTAACATCACAGCCTCCCTCAGCAAACAGCCAGTGATTATCCCAAATTTGGAAATCCCCAAGACTTCTGAGGTTTGACTCCAACCCTTGGTTGACTACCAATTACCGTAAGTTCTTCTTGTGTTCCTTGGTGGTACGCTGGCTCTGTGCCTAGCATTGCTGCATCACAGCACCAGATGCCCAGATTTGATTCTACCCTCAGGTGACTGTCTGTGTGAAGTTTTCACAGTCTCCCCATGTCTGCATAGATTTCCTCCATGTGCTCCAATTCCCTCCCACAGTGCAAAGATTGCATGCTAGGTGGATTGGCCATATTGAACTGTCAAGCGGTGGCCAGGGATGTGCAGACTAGGTGGATTAGCCATGGAAAATGTAGGGTTACAGGGACTGGATAAGGGGTGTGGGTCTGGGTGCGCTGCTGTTTGGAGGGTTCAATGGGCCAAAAACCTGTTTCCACACTTTAGGGATTCTATGAACAGCACAGTGTTCCAACTGTTAATGACATCTCACTGTATCTCCAACATGTATCTTGTAGCAACCTACACGACAGTGCAGTGAATTGCGTCTTGTAAAAAATGAGTATTAATCTTTCTCTTCCCCTAACTTACTGACAATACCTTCAAGTCTTTTTGGCTTTAAATGGCTGTTCAGTAACCAATGAACTAACACAAAATGACATTAGAAACCCTTCCAATTTCATTGAGCAGAATTAAAGTTTTCTACAAAGCAACTCTGGATCTGAGCATGTTCTAAACATTATATTTCAAAGGGAATGTTGATTTGCACCTTGTTTTGTGCTTGTTTTGAGTCCAGACAGAAGACAAAGATACATTAAAATTTGCTGGGTCCAAAAATGTGAAGAAGATCCATGAAAAAGAGAAGATAGCCATGATAAGTTGTTAAGTAGCAACTGGTTGTATATCAGTTTCACAAGAACACCGTCACATAAGTCACTTCTGCTCAACAAAATAAGAGTGCCCTTCATAAAACTTGCTGTCAAATTCCACATGAAATTTAAAGCTAATGCTAAGGATGGCCAATCTGAAAACAATTGCTGTGGCATGGTTTTCCCATGATCTGCAAACTAGACACTGATCTGGATGAGGAAGGTACAAAACCCATCTGCAGACTCTTGAGCCTAATATTCATTTCAGGATGTGCCACTCCACTCATTCCTGACTACCTTCCCTTCAAATCTGCTGATAGCATCAATAAAAGATAACACAGCGTGGAGCTGGAGGAACACAGCAGGCCAGGCAGCACCAGTGGAGCAGAAAAGCTGACGTTTCGGATTGGGAACCAAACGTCGCTTTCCTGCTCCTCTGATGCAGTCTGGCCTGCTGTGTTCCTCCAGCTCCACACTGTGTTATCTCGGACTCCAGCATTGGCAGTTCTTACTATCTCTGCTGATAGCATTGTTGTCTTTCCATCAAATCGGCCACCTTGATCTTACTCCATCGTTCAGTAAGTTAATGAGGATGTGACTGCAGCCTCTACAACACTTCCCTTCTTTGTTCTCACAACCTTAATTCAGTTGTGGACGGAAAATCAATCAAACGTGCCCTTGAAGAGATTTGATGACTCATCTTCTACTGCTCTTTGGGAAAGAGAATTCCAAAGATAATGACCCTCTGAGGCAAAAAAAAATTCTTTCTCATTCCTGCCTAAAGTGGGAACCATATGATTTTTTGAACGAAGTTTTATTTTTCTATCTATCCTACTGAAAAAATTGACGCTAAACGACTCCGCAACAGATTCTATTTGACATTTTTTGTCCATTCACTGAGCCTGCTTATATCCCTTTGTAGATATTCTTCCCAATCATTTTACACCTCAAAAATGTTTTCCTGTCTTCCTATCGTCAGGAAGTAAGTCTGCAGCACACTCTATCCCCTCAAACAAACTAATAATATATATTATAAATAGCTGTAAGACCATCACTGCCGCATCCTGTTACAATTTTCTAACCTGGAAATGACGCATCTATCATAATTTTATACTTGTTTTAATAAATAAATCCACACAAAATGAGTTCATATCTTGTGCAGTAACCTTTAATACGTTATCTTACGTAATATTTATGGAAATCTACATTCAACACATCAACTATTTCCTAATTTTTATACTACACCTGTTCCATTCTTTAAGACATCTAATAAATTCATCAATGTTGGAAAGGCTTGATACCAGACTACCCGGGCAACGGATTGAAATTCAAATATAGAAATAAGGTTTAGTCGCAGTAATTTTTCTGTCTCCCAACTCAGGCATTTCTACCATCGGGCTTTTCTCTGCTGCCTAGAAACCTGACAGCTAAAGGGAGGCAGTGACTGCTACATGGAAGAGATAAATTTATTTCTCTGCTATGGATCATAAAAAGCAGGAGCATTCCCCGCAGCAACATCACCATCCCACAGCCCAGTTCCCACAGTAACGTCCCTCCATCTCAGGACTTGCAATCTGCCAAGGACCGTTCAACTCTCCTCCTGGACCACTCACCTTCCGCAATATCGTGATATAACGCAGGTCTATAGATATCTCCTTATCCAGAATTGTTGATTTCCCTCACACTCAGAATTCGGTTCAAATCACACTAAGGAAGTTAGATAAATACGACTTCCATATTAAGTACCTCCATTCGTCATTAAAGATGTTACTGCTCATCAAATATTTAATCGGCTTGCGTTTAATAACTGTTTCTGTAATTTTGCCCTCGATGAACACCAACACTTTTGACATCTTTATTTAGAAAGAAAAGGATTCATATCCATGGACATATTGTAGATAAAGTGCACCCACAATGGATAAATGTGTTGAAAAGACCAATTTGGAATCTCTCTTGGTTTCAAACAAGTTGGAAATGTATGCATGCAATACGCGATTGTCGGCACGAAGAACAAACTTTTCAGGACTGACTCAGTAAATTAGGTCTTTGAAATGCTCAACTTATAACTTGCCAGTGAATTACAGCACTTCAGTGAGAAAATACGCAGCTAGGGAAGAGCAGGAGAAGCAAATTCATGAGTTTCTTTGGAGAATGAATAAGAAACTAATCCTGAAACAGGCCGAATATTCAGTACCGCCAAAATGGTGAACTCAAAGATTCTAAGTATTCCCCCTCTTTCCACCACCAATATCACTACAACCTCCCCCAGCGACCCCCCACCCCCTTCCCCCATATCAGCTGAGCACAGTGACGGCATTTTTATTAATGTGTTTTGAGGAAACGATGTGAGCAATCCATTTTGTACACATGAACAGGCCAAGTTTCAGAACTGATTTTTTTATTGAGAGATAAAGCAAGTTTCAAATCGAAATTCCACGCAATGAAGAGATTCAGGACACGACAAGGAAACTAAAAGTGACTTTGATAGATATTTAAATACAAATAGGTCATACACGACTTTCCATTCCGATAAAAGCTCGGGGAGATGTTCAAAATAGTAAAAATTAACAGCCGAACTTCAAATTGCACTTCCTGCTGGTTATTTTAGCTTTGTTCGATTGTGTAAAATGGGTGCTGGTAAAACACTCAGCTTTACGTCTGTCCACAAGGAATTAGTATTCGCTACCATTACGTCAAAAAATAAATACCTACGAAAATATCCGGGCCTCATTTATGAACATTTCCAAAGCTTTTTTTGGAAGACACCGAGCCCATCATGTTCCTCTTTGTATTCTTTTCTTTATTCAGAAGAATAATATAACATTTTGGAGCAAAAATGCAAATAAGCAGACCAAAACTGGAGGCCAAAATAGCAAATACTTCAACTGCCACAGCATATTTTCCTGGCGAACTTATGTAAGCTGGAATGAAAGTTATCCAAACTGCACAAAAGATAAGCATGCTAAACGTTATGTGCTTAGCTTCATTAAAGTTATCTGGAAGTTGTCGAGCTAGAAAAGCTACCACAAAACACACGCAGGAAAGAAATCCAATATAACCGAGAACACAATAGAATGCTAACGAAGATCCCACGTTGCATTCAAACTCGATTATCTCATGAGAGTGACTAGTGCTTCTCAAAGGATAAGGTGGAAATAGAATTAACCAGGCAGTACATATTGCACATTGTACCAGGGTAAGGATGTAAACCATCAGCCGTTGTTGTCTTGGTCCAAACCACTTCATCATATTATTGTTGGGAAACTTTGCTTTGAATGCCATCACCACGACAATTGTTTTACTCAAAACACATGATATGCAAAGAACAAAACTAATACCAAACTCTACGTGGCAGAGCATACAAGACCAAACTAAAGGTTCACCGATGAACGTAATTGAACACAGAAAGCAAAGTGTGAGGGCAAAGAGAAGAAGGAAGCTTAACTCAGAGTTATTAGCTTTAACAATTGGAGTGAGTCTATAGACGTAGAATATTGCGAATACAGCAACAGTGGTGCAGGCTCCAAACAACGCCAGTGCCACCAAAGTGATTCCCATCATCTCGAGAAAGGAAAGAAACTCGATTTCCTTTGGGATGCACTGATCCCGTCTTTCATTAGATTTGAATTCCAAAGGACACTTTATGCAATGAATGGAATCTAAGAAGTAACACAACACTTCGTCATTATGCGAGGAATCTTAACGCCTGAGCAACGCAGACATCACGTTTAAGCAGGAATGTCATTTACAATGGTGTTTTCTTACCAGTTGTGTTGCTAATTTCACCTTGTGCACATTGTATGC